AGAGCAAGCTCAAGCTGGGCCTTGCCGCCAACATGGGCGGGAGCGACAAGACCGCTGTCGTTTCGCTCTTTGCCAACCACTGAGTCTCAGTGCCTTTCCGCCTGTGCCGCTGTTGTGGAGCTTTTCTTGGGCCACTCAGAAATTTCCTTTCCTTTCGTCTCGGCGAGATGAAGGTTTGCTCTGAATGTCATTTTATTGCGCCCTTCTTTTTTTTTTCTTTTGACCTCGCCATGCAGTGCCGTAGTGTGTTTGCCTTCGTGTTGTTTGCCGCCCTTCTGGTGGCGCTGAGCGAGGCGCACATCTGCCTCATCAACCCTGTCCAGGTACACTGCTACATATTGTTTTGTCCCTTTTTCTCGATACGTAGCCCTAGCTCCGATAATTTTACTAACTTTTATTTTTATTTTTATTTTTGACGCACAGAGGGCCGGCTACAATGTCAGGTGCGAACTGCCAGGGGTTCGCGAGTTTGGGGGGGGGGTAGAGAGTCTGACGTGACGTGGTGTGGCGGTGCAGTGGGCCGGGAATGATGGCGTGCTTCCGTCCCGACGGTCCTTGCGGCAAGGGTATCCCGGCCGAGCAGCCTCGCGTGACCCTCACCGGCGGCCGCGGGTTCTCCGTCCTCCTGCAGCAGAACCTCAACCACTACAACCCCGGCCACGCCGGTATGTATCCTGTCCCCGCTCAGGGCTTGGCCATGTCGTCGTGTGAGCGCTGACCGTGGGTCGGCCGCGGGTGTAGGGTTCATCGATGTGGCCTACGCCCAGGGACCCAACCCGCAGTCGTCGGACTTCATCCCGCTGGCCACGGTCCCCGACTTCTGGCCCTGGATGCAGGCGTCGCAGACCAACTTCTCGATTCCCGTCTCCGTGCCCAACATTGACTGCCCCCACTGCGTGATCCGTGTCCGCTACCACCCCAACAGTGCGTCTCCTTGGCCGAATGCAGCTTCCACGATCGTTGTGATGGCTCGCTACTTGAAGGCGAATTGGCTCACACTTCTTCCGTTGATGATCGCAGAGCCGACCGAGCCTGTGTTCCACAACTGCGCTGATGTTGCGATCACCAGGGGCTCCAGCTCGCCCAAGTCCTTCGGCAGCTTGTTCGGCCTCGTGCGCTACGAGCGCGTCCCATTCGCTCCGACCGAGACCCTCAGCCTGATCAGCGACGACGGTACGGTCCAAAGCCGCTGCGCGAGTACGCGACGTGGAAGGAATTCAAATACTGACACACAACGCAAACTCGCGCATGGCCTTGAATGAGCAGGCAGCCTGGCACCTCTCCAGGCTAACATTGGCGTGCGCTCGGTGGGCTCCGGGAGCCAGGAGGACAAGGCCAACATCAACCAGTACTACTTGGCTGAGGTGCGAGCAGCTCTTGTCCTATCCACTATGTACTATGCATTCGACAATACTGAACTTCGCCGTGGCGCCACGCACACAGGGCCTCGCGACCATCAACAAGGCGCAGCAGCTGATCCACTTCGTCGGTTATTCTGACATCGTCGACTACTTCAACAACACGGTGCCGTCCACCCTCATCACCTACTCCTACACCCAGCAGCGCTTCCTCGACTCCATCGCCATCGAGCGTCCCACCGGCGAATACGTACGCGAGCTCCAACCCCCCCTCGGCGTGGCTTCCCTCGCCATGGAGAGGGGTGACGATGCTCACCGTGGGTTCCACAGGCGTCGCATTGGGTGTCGATCCTGAGCATCAGCGACGACAGCAAGAACAAGATCCTGGTGGAGCTCGTGGGTCCCAACAGCCAGGGCGCGTGGAGGTACCAGTACAGGATCCTCTCGCCCAACGGCGCCGTGTCGTCGGTGCAGGCCACCTTCCCCTTCGACGACACGTTCGTCAACTTCTTCTGGGCCGACTACGACCAGGTCAACCAGAAGCTCTACATCCTCAGTGGAGACGAGAACTCCCTCTTCACCCTCAGGTGCGCTCCTCTGACCGGTGCTGCTGATCTGCACACACCCTCGCCTGCGGGGCTCTATGCTAATGCATTGAGGCGCTGTGTCGATTGTGTGCACAGGGTAAAGCTCTTCGTGGCCGATCTCAAGGCCAAGACCGTGTCCAACGTGATGGTGGACAACTCGCGCTACACTCTCACCAACGTCCACGTTGTACGTCACAATCCCCCACCGCTTCCCCCTCCACTCTTCACCGCAACTGATCGCCCATTTGCTTGCAGCACCCTTCCGGCGGCATTGTGGCTTTGTCGCCCGGTCTGTTCAACGGCAACGTCGAGCGCGCGACCTGGTCGCTCGTCAAGATTGACCCTAGCTCCGGCCAGGTGTCCCCGATCGGCCTGACCGCACCTTTGGGCCAGTACCAGGCCTGGTACGGCGGTGGTGTGTACGGTGCTGCGATCAGCGACGGCGTTGTGGTCCACGCCTTCAAGAAGGTACTCGCAACCAGTTCAATGTGGCGGGAGGTGCTTCGCCGACTTGTACTCACGCCTCATCGCCCACCAGGTCATCGACGGCAGCATCGTGGTGGCCGGCATCGACGTGGACTCGGGCAGAGTCGTGGGCACCACCGATCTCCAGAATGGCGTCAACGGCGATCTGTCTCTGTTCGGACTCATCCACTTGCCTTTCGCCTAGTCTTCTTCAGCATTGCCATAAAGCGTGTAATACCCCACGTTCCATACCCCTCCTCCCCACCGTACCTCCTCAGCTCTGCTCGGAGAAGTTGCTTGGCATAGCCCTCTCCCGGCCAGGCGCCGAAGAGGCCACGGACCGCTTCCTCTTGTCGGGCCAATGCGAAAGCGCGACAGGGCGCAAACGAGAAGAAAGTTGGTTGCCTTCTCCCGTGATGCGTGTGCCTTATCTCCCCGTTCTCAGAACTGCGCTTCCACGCCCAATCGACGGCGCTCCGCTTCTCAAATTTCCCGCCAAACCGTGGTCACGAATTGCGAGAGACAACCCCCGCCAACAAGTCGAGGCGGCTTCTGGCAGTCCGTTTTTCTTCACTGCTCGTGCCGACAGACCTCTGCCGCTGTACTTCCGTCAAGCTCATCGACAGCAGCATCGAGCTGGGGTAGAAGGGCAGGAGGACTCATACATCACTCGCACGCACCACCGCATTCGATTTTTCTTCTTCCTAAGACAACGAGAAAGTAGGCGAGCAGCTCGAGTAGAGTAGAATTAAGATAGAGAAGATGCGCCAGCCGGGCTTCTTCTCGTTCAAATGGCAAGAGCTGCAAGAGCTCTTCGACGATTGGGGCAACTTCGAGGCCCTGTCGAAATTGGGTGGCGTTCCGGCCATCGTGAAGGGGCTGCACGTGGACATCAAGAAGGGCATCATCGATGACCCTCGAGACCGAGCCGAAGCCTTCGGCCCCAACACCTACCCCGAGCGCAAGCACACCGGCTTCTTCATGCTGATGTGGGAGGCTCTGCAGGATGTTACCCTCATCATTCTTTGCGTCGCGGCCGTGATTTCGCTCGTTCTCGGCGTCGCCTTCCCCAACGAGGAAGAGGGCGAGACCAGAGCTACGGGTACGCCCCCAATATCTTTTTCTTTAATTTTGCAACGCAAATTTGACGATTCTTTGGATCTCTTTCACCACCAGGTTGGATCGAGGGCGCCTCCATCTTGGCTGCCGTTTTCCTCGTCTCTTCGGTGACGGCCGGCAATGATTTCCTCAAGGACAGGCAATTCAGGGCACTTGAAAAGGAGAAGGACAATGACACTGTTCTGGTGGTGCGCGACGGCAAAATCGTCCAACTCAAGGTACTAAAAATCACTGGAACTGCAGTCTGGAAGTTGGCTTGCTCACAAATTTGATTTAGGTGTTCGATATTGTTGTGGGCGACATCATCGTTCTCGAGCGAGGAAGTCGAATCCCAGCAGACGGTCTCTGGGTTTCTGGCAAAGGTACTTTTCTCAACCATTCCGGAAGTGTCCGGTCATCTAGTCGACGGTGCAGCGCATATGATTTCTAATTTATATTTGATTTCCATGTTCCTGCACAGAACTCCAAGTCGATCAGTCCAACTTGAACGGAGAGTCCAAGACTGTCGCAAGAAACGCGCAGCATCCCTTCCTTCTGTCTGGCTGCACGGTACGCTCACTTTACTTTCTGGTATCGTTCATGCCCTTAGCTGACGCTTGGCCGTCGATTCTCCGCTGCGTGCAGATCGCCGATGGCGAGGCCCACATGATCGTGTGCGCAGTCGGCGTGAACTGCCAGTGGGGTCTCATTTTGACCGCCCTCGAGCCCGAGGATGACGAGACGCCTCTCCAGCAGGACCTCGGCGACCTCGCCACCAGTACGTCTTCCCCACCGACAGCTTTCTTGTTTACCTGCCCTTCCGGAAACACCCGGGGGTCCGGCTTCTTTTTTAATTCGAAACTAATTTAATTCTCGTGCAGAGATTGGTTGGCTCGGCCTTATCTGCGCTATTGCTATTTTCATCTGCCTCACCGTCTGGTGGGTCGTCAAGCGCTTCATCCAGGGCGACCCTGGTACCTACGCGCACATTTATATGGTAGAGGCTCCTCAGCACGTGATTAAGTGTCTCATCGCCGGTCGTTGCATTCTTCTCCAGATGATTTCCAGTGGACCATGCTTGAGGACTTCATTGGCTACTTCATCGTGGCCGTGACCATTCTTGTCGTGGCCGTGCCCGAGGGTCTCCCTCTTGCTGTGACCATTTCCCTGGCTTACTCGATGAGGAAGATGATGAAGGGTACGCAAATGCCAGCGTGGCTCTTCAATGCCACTGCTGACCTTGTCTTCCTTGTGCAGACAACAACTTGGTTCGTCACTTGAAGGCGTGCGAGACCATGGGTGGCGTTACCAACATCTGCACGGACAAGACCGGAACCCTGACCGAGAACCGCATGGCCGTCGTGCGCGGCTGGATCGGCGGCAACGAGTTCGAGGGAGTCCCCAAGGTCTCCAACGACGCCCTGAGGCACCTTCTCACCCACGGCATCTCCATCAACTCCAAGGTGAGCAATCCTCGTACCGATTACACAGACAGCTGCTGTCGCCCCTTTTCCAACTGCCTTGGTCCTCACACACTATTTTTCTCGCCAGGCTGTCGTGCGCCCCGCTCCTCACGGCTCCGGCTTTGAGTATCTGGGCAACAAGACCGAGTGCGCTCTGCTCGTGCTCGTTCACAAGCTCGATGAGGACTTCAACCAAATCCGCGAGCAGTACCCGCTGGCCTACCAGGCCCCCTTCTCCTCGGAGAGGAAGCGCATGACCTCCGTTGTCGGCGGTGATGGCGCCTACAGAGTCTACACCAAGGGCGCGTCCGAGATCATCCTCGAGCGTTGCACGTCCGTCGTCACCGATTCGGGCGACATCATCGACATTGAGGACGATATGCGCCAGGAGCTCGTTCAGGCGCTCGAGACCTTTTCCGACGAAGCGCTGCGCACCCTGGTGCTGGCCTACCGCGATCTCCCCTCGGACTGGTCGCCCGACAGCATGACTGTTGGGGACAAGGAGGAAAACGAAAACGCCCTGGAACAGGAGCTCACCCTCATCGCCATCGTCGGTATTGAGGTACAGCTGCCCCACCTCGCTCTTCAGCGATGAGAGTGCGTGGCGCAGGCCCAGAACAACCTGCTCACGCCTCGTTCTCCATGCGTTTCTAGGATCCTCTCCGTCCCGCTGTCAAGGATGCCGTGCGCTCTTGCCAGAACGCCGGCGTGACCGTGCGCATGGTGACGGGAGATCTCCTCAACACCGCCAAGTCGATCGCCAGGCAGTGCAACATCCTGACCAAGGACGGTACTGCCATGGAAGGCAAGGTCTTCAGAAATTTGAGCGACCAGGAGGCCTACGCGGTCCTCCCCAAGCTCCAAGTCTTGGCCCGTTCCTCTCCTCAGGTTCGAGCCACCACTCTTGCCGTTTCAACCTTGAAGGCGCTGACATTTCTTGTGGTTGATCTAAACAGGACAAGAAGCTCCTCGTGAAGCGCTTGAAGGCTATGGGTGAAGTGGTGGCCGTCACTGGTGACGGCACCAACGACGCGCCTGCTCTCCGTATGGCCCACGTGGGTCTGTCGATGGGCATTGAAGGCACCGGTGTGGCCAAGCAGGCCTCGGACATCATCATTCTCGACGACAACTTCGCGTCGATCGTCAAGTCAGTCATGTGGGGACGAAACGTTCGCGAGAACATCCAGAAGTTCCTCCAGTTCCAGCTTACCGTCAACTTGGTCGCTCTCGTGGTGGCCTTCGTCGCCGCCGTCACCGATCAGGTAAGTCCTTTCGCCCAAGGTCTGTGGTTGTTGAATTAGGCCTAATTCATTGTCGCAAATAACCACTACAGGGCACTCCCTTGAAGGCTATTCAGCTCCTCTGGGTGAATCTTATCATGGACACCATGGCTGCTCTTGCCCTCGGCACTGAAGCGCCTACCCCGGCTCTTCTCGACCGTCCTCCCGCGGGACGCAACTATCCCCTCATCTCCGCCACCATGTGGAGGAACATCATCGGCCAGGGCGCCTACCAGCTTGTCGTCCTCTTTGGCATTCTGTACCTCGGCGAGCACATTCTCGAGCACGACGACGAGACCGTGAGGAACACTTTCCTCTTCAACTCTTTCGTGTTCTGCCAGGTACACTTGGCCCCTTGTCCCTCGCGTCTAGGCTTCCCACGTGCTGTGCGATCGATCAGTTGCTGACAGTGGCGTGGCTCTGCAGGTGTTCAACGAAGTCAACGCCAGGAAGGTCGGCAAGTACGAGTGGAACGTGTTCAGTGGCCTCCACACCAACTGGATTTTCATTGCCATCATCGCCATCACCGCCGTCGTCCAGGCCCTCATCATCGAGTTTGGCGGCGACGTCTTCAAGACCGAGCCCCTCTCTCTCGTCAACTGGGGCTACAGCATTGCCATCGGTGCCGGCTCGCTCATCGTGGGCGCCATCCTCCGACTCATCCCCATCCCCGACATGTGGTGCTGCGCCATCAAGGGTACGCCGCCTCCCACCACCCGTTCGCCTGGTCTTCTATTCAACACAGTTGGCCCTAATTCTTCTCTCTTTTCTTCCACAGATCGCTCCATGCTTGTCGAGGACGAGGTCGAGGAGGACGAGGACAATGCCAAGGCTACTTCTAGCGTAGGTCCCTCGGAAACCACTCGTCTTCTTCCTTGATCTTCCTCTTCCTCCATTCTCTCCTCTATCGCTTTCCTCAACCACGTCTCTCGGCGGAGGGTTTATTTATTGTCTCTTTTAATTTGTGTCTCTCTTCTCATTTTGCTCTTCTTCTCTTCACCCACCACCACCGTACCATACTTCCATCCTCTCCACACTCCATCACCACCACAACAGCTATTGCGATCAGCAAGCTGAGAGGCCTGTATCCCCTCGAAGAAGAAGAACATGACCTCTCCGTATCGTCGTCAACGATAGCTACACCTCTT